GGTTGTCAGCGGTGCTGGCTCTGTTCTCCCTCCCCGATCCTCCCAAACTATAGCAGAACGCCACCTCCAGGAAATGCGGCTCAAATCAGGTTAATGGATAATCGGAGCACAACGTGATCTGCCTGTTAAAGGTGAACGAGGAGCAGCGCTGTGCTTCCTTCTACATCACAGGAGTCAGTGACACCGACCGATACCAGAGCGGTGTATCGCAAATACAGCCAGGGATTCTATCACATAACAAATATACTTCTCACCTTCTTCTCAGGGCTGCTGATCCCCTGTAGACTCTTTGTGGTCTCTGTCTACAGCGATGTCTGCCAGACATTTCTCTTATGATGTTTGTATATATTGAAGGGGATACAATGTAACACAGCTTTGCAGTTTGTGACAATATTACAGTTAAAGAAGAACTCCGGGCAAAACTTTTCTTAAAGTGACAATAAACTCAGGAATTAAACCTTAAAAAAAATACATTCAAGTACCTTATGTAAAAATGTCTCTTATTTGTGTATCACTTGGCTGTAGACCCTCAAATCATCTCTGAGTTTGTGCTGACACTGTCCTTCCTTCTGGAGGGTGGCTACTTTTGTTCCCCATGGTCCCTGTGTGTGTTGTAAAGTAGTCACCGCTCCAAGCTCACTCTTGTGATGGACTACAATCTCATGTTTAGTTTACTAATTTGTATTGAGATTGTAGTCCATTAGGGGAGCGAGCTTGGAGTGGTGACTACTTTACAACACACACAGGGACCATGGAGAACAAAAGTAGCCCCCCTCCAGAAGGAAGTACAGTATCAGCACTAGGGATGCACAGATACCGGTTTTTCAGTATTGGAGTATGAGCACCGATATTTTGCTTTTCTTTACTCGCCGATACCGAGTAGCCATACCGGTGCTTCCGCTGGCATGGAGCCAGCTTCCTGGGCAAATAGGAAGCCTGGCGGCAGGTAATAACATGTCACCTGGCTTCCTGATTGCCGGGAAGACGGTTCAATACTCCCCTATGGCCCTGCCAGGCAGAGGAAATCTTCCTCTGACCGGAAGTTCCGGTATCAGGGAAGGTGTTGGAGCATTTGGGTGACTACGAGTACTTGCCCAAATACTCAGTATCAGCACCAATACTAGTATCGGTATCAGAGATGATTTGAGGATCTACAGCCGAATTATATACAAATAAGATACAGTTTTGTTAATAGTTAAGGTACTTGAATGTATTTGTAAGATTTAACTCCAAAGTTTAGTGTCACTGTAACCCTTCAGGGGGGGCTGCTCCTGCACTGCGAGGGCTATGCGCTCATGTTGGTCTAGGTGATGAAAAAAAAAGCTGTACTCCCTGATCCTCGTCAGCCGGCTGGTTGTCGGTCCTTATTCACACTTTCGCATTCTGTGAACACATCAATAACGTGCGTCGGGCTTGCGGTGCCATTACTAAAGTTTTAGTTTCCTGCAGAATTCCCTGAGCACTGGCCCTGATATCCTTTTTTTAGGCCTGGTCACACTAAGCGTATTGTGGCAGCTGAATAAGTGCGACAAAATGCTTCACAAAAAAAAAAAAAGACAGCAAAGCAAGCCATTCCTCTCCTTCCTGCTGCCCTCCCCCGTCTAATAGATGGACAGATGGACAGTTGCTGTAGACTGCTCTGTTGTTTGTGATCTTGTACTGGACAGGAAGTTCAAGGAAGCTGAGCTAAGAGAGTTTTGAGCTGTTTGGAAACATGATGGCTGTAAGGGCTTAGGCAAAAATGTAAAGGGGTTCTAAACCCTCCGGTTTTTTTACTTATATCTACTGCTAGCATGCAGTAGATATAGGCAAGAAGTGTAAAAAAAACAACAAAAAAAACGCTTAAAATCATTTTAAACTTACCTCGTTATCGCTGCTCGATCCCGCGCCGAGAATCAGGAACTGCTCGTACGGCCGCAAAGGATCTTGGGGCGGGCGCATGCGCAGTTCCGATTCTCGGCCGGGAGACGAGCAGAGACGCAAGGTAAGTCTATGGACGCGTGCACCCGCACGAACAGATTCCTCCATCCACACTAAACAGCATGGATGAATGATACCTCCCACTGGTACTCCTGTATTCTGACACCCAGCTCCCGCCGCTGTCAGAATACCCAAACAGTGATGGCTGCTGATTGGCTGCCGTCATTGTTCAGCTGACAATTTTCAGCCTGACTCCTTCGACAAAAGTCAATTGAATGATCAACTTTTGTCAAGGCAGCCGGGCCACCCACTTTTAGAATTTAGGCCGATTCAGCATACAGTCAGCTTTACATTGTGGAGTACAATGGTGAGGATTACATCCGGTGATATGCATATGAATAGACTGTTTAATGGTGCAATAAAATAAAATTGGATTTCTACATCCAGCAGCATCATGTCTTTTAAGTGACAACGTTCTAACGATGTGAGAAACAGGACTTGAAAACGGTGGCTCTATCCTTACATTTTAAGGGATCAATGTCCGGGCAGACACGGAAGAGAAGCAAAGAGGAGGCAACAGAAAGAGATTGTGATCCTTGGGGGAAAGTATGTAGTGTAACCGAGGGAAGGGATGTAGAACGTGAAGTGGCCGAAGGGAGGGAAAAGATGGCACTCACTGTTCAAGGCTTCAAAATAAGTGTAGGATTATAAAACAGTATATACAGTAGTAATCATTGAATTATGGAAGAGTATGGGAGTCTGGCCTTCCACATGGAAAGGGCAACCCCCCAACCCATCGGAGATATCGGGTATCGTAGGTAGTTATCATAACATTTCCAAACTTTGTCTCTTCCTAACAAATTACACCACAAAGCTACTAATTCACTCTCTCTCAGTCTATCATAAGTGCTGCTGCTAGACTCATCCACCTCACCAAATGCTCAGTGGGCACCACCACTCCCTGCCAATCCCTCCACTGGCTTCCAATAACACAAAAAGTGCTAACAACAGCATACAAAAGCCATCCACAACTCTGCCCCTGGCTACATCTCCAACCTCATCTCAGGATATCACGCAAGCCATCCTCCGTGCTTCTCCTAAGACCCCCTGCTGTCTAGCTCCCGCATCACCTCCTCCCATGCTTGCCTCAAGACTTTTCTAGAGTCTCTTCCATCCCCTGGAACTCCCTACCAAAACCTATCCAGCTATCTCCTAATCTGTCTGCCTTTAGGCCGTCCATAAAAACTCACCTCTTCAGGGAAGCCTATTCTACCTCCTCTTAAAAACTGTACATCTACTCCTTCAGTCAGCTCTTCTCTCACAATTGTCACCTTCTGTATTACTTAAAGGGTCCTTTAATCTTTTTTTATGGTATTGTAATGTAATTGTACTGTCTCCCCATATGTTGTAAAGCGCTGCACAAACTGTTGCTATACTGCTATATAAATCCTGTATAATAATTTATATCTTTCTCTGGATGAAATACTAATATCCAGGGATCCCATATATGTAAGAATGTCTGATATTTCATTTACCGGCCTCATCCTCGGAGCTATTCCACCTGAATTTTGCACCCATGCTCCAGACTATCACCCATGACCTACAACGATGGAGGACTCTGACCTGTACTTGGTTTGGCAGGGCAGCCATAATCAAAATGAACGTCCTCCCGAGACTCCTATATTTGTTTCAAGCAATTCCCATCCAACTCCCCAGAATGTATCTTAAAAACCTGGAGACGACATTTAAACGTTTCATATGGCTAGACAAACAACCCAGGATTGCATGGTCGCTACTGAAAGCCCCCAAGATACATGGCGGCCTTGATGTGCCAGATATACCGGGCTACTACTTGGCTTCCCATCTCTGCCGGATCATAGACTGGCATGTCAACGCCACATCGAAATTGTGGGTCACAATGGAGACAAATTGGGACAATGCACCCCCAGTGACGGCTTTGACATGGCTTCCTTTGAGACATAGCCCTCTGCGCATCACCACCCATCCACTGATTGGGGCGACACTGAAAGAATTCTCCGCCCAGCGGAGACGGGGCTTCCTCACAACCACTGACGGCCCAATGACCCCTCTGACCCATAACCCGGACTTCGCCCCTAGTCTAGCGACAGACTTTATCTCCCACTGGACACCCTCGGTGTCGCTGATAGCCCACGCATTCTATAAAAATAACCAATTCCTGAACAAAGATGAGCTAGCTCCCCTCTCCAAGCAGGGACAGCTCCCTTGGTGGATCTATTTACAGGTGAGACACTATCTCACCTCCCCGGCGAAAAGAGGTAGCTTTGCACGAGTCATGACTAGCTTTGAGAATGCATGCTCGGGTAAAGGACCTTCGCGACACCTCATATCCTGGACCTACTGTTTGGTACGTCCAGATAAGCCTGCTAGAACCGACACCTTGCGTGCTACCTGGGAGAGGGAGCTAGCACGAGACATCCCGGACGACACATGGGAATCAGCGTGCAATGGGGTGCACAAAAGCTCAGTGAGTTGTAGACATGTGCACTGCCAAATGTGTGCGATGGCCTATTCCTGCGGCCCGATGTTAATAACATTAATGTGACACCTCACTGTAAGTG